AGAGACGAGGGCTTCCCCAAGGGGTTAGGAAAACAATGTCCAGTAAAGACTGAGGGAGAGAAAATGTGGGGAGAAGCTTATTCTCTGACTGGTGGAAGTGGTAGGATTCAGAGAGGAAGAAGTCAGAAACCACAGGCAATGTGAGAGTCAGGGTAAGCAGCTAATATATCACTGGGAAGGAGCCTTCGGAGCATGAACTGAACCAATGGCTGAGGACAGGCTCACTGGGTGAGCATTCTTGGACCTTGCTTACCAGGGCCACAGTTCCTGAAGATGTAGACCAAAAGCACAGAATTACCACTGACCAGGCCAAAGAGCAGGACAGCCAGCAGCACTCGCCGCACCACCACCCACTGTCTGCTCCATTCCATGGGCAGCTCTTCTGGTGAGCTCTGAGGGAGGAATCAGGAGAAGAACACAAGATGAAGGAGCTAGGAGAATGGGATGGGGAGAAGAGGAGGGGAGGGGACAGGGATGAATAAGTTCATGTTCAGCCTCCTTTGCAAAGAGATTATTCTCCTGAGTCTCCCAAAATGTAGCCCTTTTTAGACCTCTGGGTCATGAGAAAATGAAGAATGTCCCCTGCCTTGGGGAACTGAGAAGACTGTTAGGGGATGAGTGAGTGTGAATGTTAGAACTGGAAGCGCATCAATGTATTTATCCCTGACAACTTGCTGGTAGAAGAAACCACTTACCTCCTGGCTCTGGACAGTCCTCATCCCACTGGCCCAGCCTGGCTCCTTTGACTCTTCCCCACTCTTGTTACCACGGTCCTGAAGTGAGAAGAGGAGAAGCTGGTTCAGAAAGCAAGGAGCATTAGAGTTTTTTCAGGCCATTTTGATATCTCCTACCCACCCCATATTTTAATCTCTGGGCAAAGTGCCCGGTGGGCTTTAGAAGGAACCTCTTCCTGGATGTCCCATTTTTTCCCTCCCACTCCCATTGTCTTCTTCTTTTCCCTTTTCTACTCTCAGAGAAATCTCACATTCCCTCTTCTATAGTGGGGAGCAGGGTATTTGCACATAGCCACCCACACCTCCCAGGCATAGACTTCAAAAGGGAATGTCTCCCCAGGGACTTGCCATCTGTCCTTCTCTTGTGCTCCCAGAATCCTTCTTGTTTCCACTCCAGGTGTTCAGGCAGGGGCCTGGGGTTCAATTCAAGAAATGGCCTCCCTCCTGCCCCTACCCCAGCTCCTTGGACCTGGAGAAGGGGCACTTCTGCACCACTCTACTCCCCTGTCCCAAAACACACTGCTGGCCTCAGGGCAGAGTCTGTTTATCTGTGGGGTCACACCCAGGGCTCTCCTCTTCCTTTATCTCAGCTTCTCAGGGGATGGGGTGGGGAGGGGGGAGTCTTCACTCCCTAAGCAATTTGCCCTTGGTCTATTCCTCTTGTTCTGCCCTGTGACTACTTATGTAGTTTATTTCTGGAATAGGCATCCTTCTCTCCTTTCTTCTGTAAAAGAAAAATCTGAGACACAATAGAATTGTAAAGAGTTATCTGAGCAGAAACAATTTATGGATTGAGGGACACCAGACCAAATGAGCTGTAATGTACGGATGACAAAACGTCAGAGGCATGTACTTAAGATGCAGAAGCAAAATAAGAAATGACTTGATTGTTTGGCCATTACATAATCACCTTTTTTTAGGTACCTGGCTGGAAAGTTCCCAGTCACATAGTCATATGTTAGTTGGCTGCTTATGATTGGCTGGGGTTAAGTTTTATTTCTAACATAAGCATTTCCCAGAAGTGACCCAAGTTAAGCCTCTTATGTATCTGTAGTGTAAGGAAGAATGAGACTATTTTTTTAAGGTCTTTGGCTTTGTTTGCTCAGGAAGTTTTAATTTTGCTGTAACACATCTCTGATAGAAATCTCTTGAGTTCTTCAACTCCCAAGTCAAATGCCTGCTTCCCCAGGAGGCCTCACAGCCTCATGCCCCTTCACACTATTCCTAAGCATGCTTAATTGCTTCTGTAGGTGTTTCATAGCCCTGCCAGTTGCAGGCGGAGTCCTGCATTAAAAAGATCACCCAACTAGGAGACCCTAATCTGCTAATTATTAGCCCTGTGACATCAACAAGCCACTTAAACTCTCAGGCAGGTAAACAAGGTTTGTCATCTGGAAAATGAAGGTGATATTTGCCTATGCCTACCTCATAGGGTCTCATACCTTCTTTCTCACAGCATTTTGAGCCCTCACCTGTGGTCTCAGTTAGGCAAGCACATTTAAAAGAAAAGGTGTTTCAACTCTGTTTCCTGTTTCCTCATCCTTTACAAAATGAGATGTATTAGGATAGTCAAGCTAACATACCACGACAATATTTTCTGATTGCATCAGCACTGTGGTAGAGCCATGGGATGGGATAGACATGGAAGGATGGTTGGAAAGTTGGGTATTGGTATCTTGTTGATTGGAATATCATGGAGTACATAAGCAAAAGTCAGGATTTTGATCATTAGAAATAAGGTATTACAGAAAGTAAAACTTTTGAGGGAGGGTGTGACAGGATGGCACAATACCTGTGAAAGGATCGTGTGGCCCTGGGGATCAGGACTGGTTGAATAAAGGCAAGAAACAGATTGGCTAGTTATGAGTGGCAGGAATAATAAAGTGAAAGTCTGGCCTAGGGTGATGACAAAGGAAAAGAAAGTATACAGAAGGAAAAAATGTTATGGCAGAAAATAAACTCACAGAAACTCATTGAATAGAGGAGGTCATTAAAATAGAGTCACAGATGTGCTTCAAGTTGTATTTGTAGATAACTAGGAGAATAATGATACCAGAGATCAGAGATGTTTTGTCTTGTTTTATTTTGTTTGCCAGCGGGCACTTGTGCTCACCAGAGAAACAGAGAGAGAGAGAGAGAGAGAAATCATCCCCGCCCCATTGGGATATGTGTTCGTCTCCATTTTCCATCCTGTTAGGATTTGGGGCACACATGCACATGAACCTGGTATGTTTTTCAAGTTGCCAGGGCCAGGATTTGAACCGTTAAGCTACTCGTAGGATGACAAAATGTCAGAGGCATGTACTTAAGATGCAGAAGCAAAATAAGAAATGACTTGATTGTTTGGCCATTACATAATCACCTTTTTTTAGGTACCTGGCTGGAAAGTTCCCAGTCACATAGTCATATGTTAGTTGGCTGCTTATGATTGGCTGGGGTTAAGTTTTATTTCTAACATAAGCATTTCCCAGAAGTGACCCAAGTTAAGCCTCTTATGTATCTGTAGTGTAAGGAAGAATGAGACTATTTTTTTAAGGTCTTTGGCTTTGTTTGCTCAGGAAGTTTTAATTTTGCTGTAACACATCTCTGATAGAAATCTCTTGAGTTCTTCAACTCCCAAGTCAAATGCCTGCTTCCCCAGGAGGCCTCACAGCCTCATGCCCCTTCACACTATTCCTAAGCATGCTTAATTGCTTCTGTAGGTGTTTCATAGCCCTGCCAGTTGCAGGCGGAGTCCTGCATTAAAAAGATCACCCAACTAGGAGACCCTAATCTGCTAATTATTAGCCCTGTGACATCAACAAGCCACTTAAACTCTCAGGCAGGTAAACAAGGTTTGTCATCTGGAAAATGAAGGTGATATTTGCCTATGCCTACCTCATAGGGTCTCATACCTTCTTTCTCACAGCATTTTGAGCCCTCACCTGTGGTCTCAGTTAGGCAAGCACATTTAAAAGAAAAGGTGTTTCAACTCTGTTTCCTGTTTCCTCATCCTTTACAAAATGAGATGTATTAGGATAGTCAAGCTAACATACCACGACAATATTTTCTGATTGCATCAGCACTGTGGTAGAGCCATGGGATGGGATAGACATGGAAGGATGGTTGGAAAGTTGGGTATTGGTATCTTGTTGATTGGAATATCATGGAGTACATAAGCAAAAGTCAGGATTTTGATCATTAGAAATAAGGTATTACAGAAAGTAAAACTTTTGAGGGAGGGTGTGACAGGATGGCACAATACCTGTGAAAGGATCGTGTGGCCCTGGGGATCAGGACTGGTTGAATAAAGGCAAGAAACAGATTGGCTAGTTATGAGTGGCAGGAATAATAAAGTGAAAGTCTGGCCTAGGGTGATGACAAAGGAAAAGAAAGTATACAGAAGGAAAAAATGTTATGGCAGAAAATAAACTCACAGAAACTCATTGAATAGAGGAGGTCATTAAAATAGAGTCACAGATGTGCTTCAAGTTGTATTTGTAGATAACTAGGAGAATAATGATACCAGAGATCAGAGATGTTTTGTCTTGTTTTATTTTGTTTGCCAGCGGGCACTTGTGCTCACCAGAGAAACAGAGAGAGAGAGAGAGAGAGAAATCATCCCCGCCCCATTGGGATATGTGTTCGTCTCCATTTTCCATCCTGTTAGGATTTGGGGCACACATGCACATGAACCTGGTATGTTTTTCAAGTTGCCAGGGCCAGGATTTGAACCGTTAAGCTACTCGTATGGGATCTGGCTCCTTTATCTACTAGGCTATCTGACCAGCCCCCAAAAAGTGAAAATTTACTATGGGTGATAGGAGGATTAGATTGAGGGAAACATGCTGATCCCTGGTTTTAGAGAATTTGGGTCCATTGGAGCACACACTGATCATGCTGCTTCTGTTACTCCTGCCCCAGAAAGTTCAGCACTTCACCCATGAGGGGTAGCTTCCTCCATGTGCATCCTTTTCCTCACTCCTTTTCTGTAAGTCAATCCTCTGAGCTGATGTTTCTCTAGCAAAATGATAATAGAGACAGTTCAGATTAGATTAGAGCAAGCTGAGGAAGGAGTATGCTATGTGACATCAGTTCTGTGAATAGCCACCGCAGCCTGAACTCAGGTTCCTTCCCTGTTGGAGAAGCTGATCCAACCACAGAGATAGGACAACATGACCGCTGAGTTCACCGTTTACCCAGTGCCTCCTGAAGGCCTCGTAACTTCCCAGGAGCACAGTGTCCTCTTATCACCCACGTGGTATTCCGTTGTGAGTCATCATTGCCACAGCCACACCCAGCATTGCAAGTACAACATCATTTAGATCTGAGCAGTGAAGAGAAGCAAGCTAACCCATGGCTGCATGGAACAGGCACCAGGTTTATCTCTACTGTCTCCTGATAGCCTTAATTGCTCTGCCCCATCTATTCTAGTCCCAGGATCTTTTGTTTGATGTCAAAATAATATCATGACAATAATAATGCTAGTAGTAATAATAATACTAGCACCAGTATGCCAGGAATGTGCTAAATGCTTTGCATATATATTTTTTCCCTTCGGTCTTCACAGGAATTCTAGGAGGGAAATTTCCCTCATTTTACAGATGAGAAGCTGTAGTACATAGGGGTATTAAAAATTTGCCCAAAGTTATAAATTCAGTAATTGTTAGCACTAGAAGTAAAACCAAAACTCTAACTATTGAGCCTCTCAGTTTCAGCAGGTGCAATAGTGGTTATGGCACTGGACTTCCACGTAGCCAAATGTGGTTCAAGTCCTGGATCCAGCAGCGTGAAATTCATGTGGGGGGTGTATGCATGTGTGTCCCAAATCCCAAGAGTAGAATGGAAAGAAAGGATTGCAGAGTGGCTGTCTCCCCTGGGGGGAGGGGGGGCGTGATTTCTCTGTCTCTCTGGCGAGCACATATGCCTTGTAGCAAAAATCCCTCTCATCTAAAAAATGGATATACTAAGCCTCTCAGTAATTATGCTTATGTTTTTGGACTGGCTTGGTGCTCCTCATACGCAAAATCTTCCTTAGTCTGAACTTCCTTTTTAAACTGTTTTTCACTGCTTGGCTTGTTAGGTGATGACTCTGGGGCACTTATTATTATTCTCCAAACTGTCAAGCACTTTCTGAGGACTGCGGTCTATCTTGTCTACCCATTCTCAGCTACCGTCTATGGTGGTTAAGATATCAAAGTCAAGGACAGGATATTTACTACCTACCTACGGTGGCATTCTCGGATGTGTGCAATTCACTTCTGAGATCACGTGGTTACAGTGATAACGACTAAGAAGCTACTTCCTGAGAAGCAATTAACCCATTTCTGAATGAACAAGACAAAACCTTGATGTCACAAGGAATGCTGAGAACTTTGACAAGAAGATAAGGGAGAAACAGATCACTAGGGGCAGGATTCTTGATGTTCTAGTTGCTCTTTTAAAGAAAACCATACTTTAAGTTAGGGATTACCATTGAGAAAAATTCGGTATACTATAAAGTGGTTTTTGAAACAATTTATGTGA